GGGAATCGAACTCATGCAGAAGTGGCTTTAGCTTCTCAGTGCAGTGCTTTAACCCGCTGCGCCACCAGGGAGGGCCTACTTTTGCTATTTTAAAACAATTTTCTTAAAGGACAAGCACAGCAAGTCACATCCTGTGTTTAGTTTTTCTAGCTCACCAGCGCTGATTCATTCAATGTCAGTGTTTACACAATCTGTTGACACTGTGTGAGATCCTGAAGACTCAAATACTGTCAGAGACTAGAAAGGTAAATTCAAAGGGTTATGGATAAGAGGGAGCAGCTGGAGAGCAGCTATTCAAGGTTAGCAGACTATCACTTGGAAATATGGGCAAAGAATTGTCAGATATATCAACTTTTCATAGCATACTAGAATCTGGATTTTTATGTAAAATCTCCCAAATTTAAAATTTTAACACTAAAATGCAAACTTTTAAACTACTATGCAGGACAAACAAAAGCTGTCTTCATGTCAGAGACAATGTAGGCTACTGAGTTTCAAGTTCTTTTGCAGACTAACAAAGAATTATAGAGTTGGAAGAGATCTGTGAGGGCTTTTAAGTCTATTACTTTCAAAGTAAGTGTGTGTGTGTGTGTGTGTGTGTGTTGCCAAGGAATATTTCCTTTACATAAGAGTTACAAAGAAGCCAAATAAATTAAATAAATAAAAGCACAGCTGCTCTGGTTGAACAGGAAACCCTCCCTCTGAGGTACCTCTGTCTGTTCTCCCTTCCTGCTGGTGACCTCAAAGCACCTCCAGAGAGCACAGTATGAAAACAGCTGACCTAATCTAAGCTCTCAGACTACAAGTGAGGAAAAGAGAATCCAATTTTTTATTTGAAATTGTTACTGAAATCCCCAAATCTGGTCTGATTAGAATTACTCCTGATGTAATGCTACATTTACCAATACTGTAGTGACTGAAGAGAACTCAGAACTTTGGTTTACTTAGCACTAGCCATAAGCTCCACACTGTGCTTTTTCATATAACAATTCTTTTTAAAACAATCCTATGAGAAAGATGTTCTTATCCCTACCTTGAAGATGAGAAAACTGAAGCTCTACGAAGCTAAGCCCCTTTCACAGTTTCACAGGCAACTGGAATATGAACCTGAGTCCACGTTCAGTCATCTAAACCACAACAGTCATCTAAACAGGCCCAACTCCCCAGAAAATCACCCTCTCCCAAAGTACAAGATAGGCAAGGATATTAACAAGCATGAAGGGAAGAAAAGGTATCAAGTGAGGAGGGGGAATGCTCTACATGAAACAAAAGTCTTCAGTCTGAATAAATAAATGTTCACATGAGACATAATCACAGGCTATAAAATCTCAAGCTA